AGGCTATTTATAGAGAAAATCAGCCGGACGGATAGAAAAACAAATCAGAGTCTCGACGAGAATAAAACACGATTGGCGCCAGACGCTGGACATTAGCGCCAGGCGCTGAAGGTTAGCGCCAGGCGCTAATAACTGGCGTCAGGCGCTAATAGTCGTTTTCACGAATTTTCTTAATTTTGATAAAATTTAGCTGTACAGAAGGGCAAAATCGTATTTTCCTTAAAACTCTTCTTTTACTCTGATTAAAACTCTAAAAAGTCAACCAAAGTCAATTTATCAATGCTAATTAAATTAGGAATGAAATGAACCTTCTAGAAGAATCTAGAAGACTAAAATCAATTCTAATTGCATTAGGAATGATAAACTAATATTAGGCCCTCCTCTAGATCATTGGGCCGCATATAAAAATCAAACCGAACCCAGTTTAGTAATTTGGCCATAACTTCCTCATTATTCATCGGAATTGGGCTTATAATATTTCGTTGGAAAGCTCTTTTCAAGCCTCATCCAACTATACCATTATTAGACCCTTTCCATGGACCAAACAAAACTGGATTGGTCGTTTTCTTAAAAATAGGTTTTCAAAAACAGAGAGAAAGAAAAGAATTAAAAAACTATCCGCAACACTAGACTTTCCACACTTTCACCTCATTCGATTAAGATTCGACAAGAAAGGTACTCATCACTGGGTTTGGTTTTGGGGAGACACAAATGGGAGTCTACACTATAGTATTTTTATTTGCCTTTTAGGGTCCTATTGCTAGTTGCTAGTAGTCGCCACTTTTTCTTTCATTTCATGGAGGCAAAGCATAATCAATTATCATGAAAATAAGACAGTTTCTAGTTAGTTGGTCAATTATCATGGAGGAAATTAGATTAACTATAATAATTAACCAGGGTTAGGACTATTTAACAGAAAAAGGTTCATTAAACATGCATTTAACCTACTAAGGGTTTGTTTGGTGGTAGCGTTTTGAGTAGCGGGTAGCGTTTTGAGTAGGTCAAAACACTAGTAGGTATAATTAGTAGTGTTTGGCAAGGTAGCGGTGTAAGTAGCGGGTAGCGGTAGAGGTAGTGGTTGGATAGATTTTCACAAACGTTAGGATAAGAAGCGTTTATCCCACAAAAGTAGCGGTGCATCATGTCAAAAAACTTTTTTAAATTTCTCATCCAAATTCCCCCATCATAAAAGTTCCATCTCCTATCAAATTCCTCCATCATCAAAGTTCTCTTGATCACCAATTATCAATTTATCATTGTTGAAGTAAGAATTCTCTCCTAAAATATATCCCTTGTTTCTTTGAATTTTTATTTTTTTATTCTGAGAATTTTTTTTTTAAAATTGATGACATGATTTTGTATTCTTTAATTCGTCTTTTGGGTATTTGGAATTAAATATGTTTATGTAATTTACACAAGATGATAAATTAGAGCCTTTGGTGAAATTTTGATAGAATTTATTCCCATAATTTCGAGTGTTATAATTATTATTAGATTTTTGCCACTACCAACTATTCAAGATTATGCTAATTTTTTTTTCAATATATGGTCTTTGTGATTATTGATTTGTCGGTCAAAGCTATTTAAGGTTTTAGAAGTGATTATTCTAATGGTTGATTTACTCCTATGTTCTGACCTCGTATCTTAGAATTTATGGTCAAACAAAGCAAGCTCACTTAGTAGCTAAAATTGTGCCTAATGGTGGGGTTAGTCAGACTTTTATTTTAGCTTTAATTACTTTCAGTACTTTCTTTGCTTTGCTTATTTTGTTCTAAGCTTAGTTAGTTTGGTTGATTTAGTTTTCTTCCAACAGTTGGTCTATATATTTGCTAATTTTACTCCACTAGCAATATGCCAGATTTTTTTGGGCTATTTCTTGAACATCTTTTGTGTTTTTTCCCATAATGTAATACGAAGTATATAAGTTTCGGTTCTTTGTTTAAAAAAAAGTAATGCCTATTATTCTTATATGCTAGGCCTTACCTATAAATTGAAATCAGAGTTGCAAAAATTAGAAAGTATTAAATATTTGTTATTGAACTAAAAATATGTGGTGTATGTGCTATTTTGTTAATACTTGGTTGAATTGATGATTTTATGTGCTTGGTGGTTAGATGGCCTCATCATCGAATAAAAAAATAATAACAAAGGAAACACGGGGCGGTGAAACACGGGGCGGTAGTTTTAAGTGGAGTGACGAGGATTCAATCACCCTATGTGATGTTTGTCTTGCATTTATAAAGGAAAATGGGAAGGAACATTTTTTAGGTGGAAGGAAATTCAAACAGATGTCGAACAAAAAATTGGTCGTGAATTAAGTAATTCAAATACTTGCAAGAACAAATACGATACAATGAGAAAAGATTGGCGTCATTGGAAAAGCTTAAAACAATCAGAGACGGGTATAGGATGGGATCCAAAGTCAGGAAAAATTGACGCTACAAATGAATGGTGGCAAAGAAAAATCAAGGTGTGTATAATTCATAATTAATTTATTATATAATCTTCATATTAACAATTATAGTATGAAATTATGTTTAATAACATTTTAATTTTTATAATAATTTAATGTAGAAAAATTCAGAATTCCAAAAGTTTCGACTTAGGGGTGTAAACTTGGAGCTTGAACAAAAGTGGGAACAGTTGTTTGGAGATTATTATGCAACAGGAGATAATTTTTTTGTGCCCTCAGTAGACCCCATTGAAGATCTGACCATACAAAATGACAATTTAGAGGAAGGGAACTTTGAAATTAATGGTGGCAATACCTATTTTTCAAGTGACCAATATGCTCAAGATTTACTTAATGATGAGGGGAATTTTTTTCAACATTTTAAAGAGCAAGCACGTAATGATGCTAACTTAGGTAGTTCGGGTAGTAGGTCATCACAAGTGACTAGTGAAGCTGTAAACAATGAGACTCGTCCTTCTAATAAGATTCAAAATCAGCCTCCATTAAAGTCTAATAGTGGTCAAGTGAAACGTACAAGAAGACAATCAGTAGGATCTGCAATTATATCTAAGGGAATTATTGAAATGACAGAATGTGTTAAACAAATTAGTCAAAGTAGTACATCAAATGTGTCCACAATTTCTGCAGCAATAAATACCATAAGTCGTATGGTGGAAAAAGAGTATTTGGAGAAACATAGTGAGTTTTGGTGCTTTGCTACTACTGTCATTGGAGATGCACCTAAAAGAGAGATTTTTTGAGTACGGAGGATGATGATAGCAGAGCTAAGTGGTTAGAATATCTATATATTAAGGGTAATAATTAGGACTAGTTTAGAAAAAAAAAATGTTTTTTTTTTTGTTTGCTCCGGTGGTAAAATAAAAATGTAGATTTGTTCTATGTGAAATATTTGGATTATTTGTGTTATGTATGCTTTTCCTAGAGAAATTTTTCAGTACTTTTTATTATAGTCTTATTCATGACTTATTTTTATAATTGACAGGTTTGTTATTAATATGGATATTGATGAGGAAAGAATGCGCAATCTTTGGATTGCAATTGCATTTACAATATATTTGATGCCTACATATTTTTATAAATACATATATAAAGAACCATGCATGACTTCAATTCTAACAGAAGAGATGTGGGTACAAGAAATGTTGATTGGCAATCCTATTCGATGTGTCAATGCATTTAAAATGGAGCCACAATTATTTTTAAGATTATGTAATGATCTATCATCAAAGTATGGTCTGAAATCTAATTGTGATATGTCTATTCATGAGAAAGTTGGCATTTTTTATATGCAATTGCTCAAGGTGCCTCAAATAGAGTTCTTGGTGAGCGTTTTCAACGTTCTGGTGAAACTATAAGTAGGGCATTTCATGATGTCCTCAATTCAATTGCTTGTCGAAAATTCAAGGGGCTTGCATATGATATTATAAGACCATATGATCCAACTTTTACACATGTGCCGGCAAAAATAACAATGGATGCAAGATATATGCCTTATTTTAAGGGTTTTTTTTTGGTAGTGTTGTCATTAAAATTAGGTAAAGTTTTGATATGAAAGACTAATATTTATTGTATTTCAGGATTGTATTTGATGTATTGATGGTACACATATAGAGGCATGTATACCATAGGCTCTACAAATGCCTTATAGAGGAAGAAAAGGAATTCCTACATTTAATGTATTAGCTGCCTGTGATTTTGATATGTGTTTCACGTTTGTATCAGCGGGTTGGGAAGGTTCCGCGCATGATACTTGTGTATTTCTTCGTGCAATTGAATCTCCAGCTTTTAAGTTTCCTAAACCGCCCGAAGGTGTGCATAATTCTTTGAAATTATAGTATATATTATCTTTAGGTAATTAATTAGGTAGTTTATGTTAATATTATTTATATTGTGAATTAGTGATAGGTAAGTACTATTTCGCCGACAAAGGGTATCCAGATCGAAAAGGTTGTCTTGTAACATAGTAGCCTCTACCACTACTTTTGCCAAACATGACCTAATTAAAAAAGTAGAGGGTTACCATTGAGAATTTCCTTTTATTTTTTAAATTTTATTTTTATTATTATATATGCTTAGTATTTAAAAAGACAAACCACAATCACCTATATGACACATGTCATCCTAATTCACCCATATGCCACATAATGACATAACACATCCATTAATAATATTTCCTCTTTATACTCCCTTTTAAAGTAAAAGATAAAATAAAATGTTATTGAATGCTAAAGTCTTTATGCATTCCTAACTTGCAAATTTGAGTAAGAAAATAGAGTGTTTCATTTTCATTATAAAAAATTGGTTGTACTCCTCTCTATAAACCTTTTAATGTAAAAGTTAAAATAACAAATTATTTAATGTTAAAATCTTTATATTTCTAACTTGCAAAGATCTACTCGACGATCGTAGTTTTTATGAAGGAAAATTCTATTTGATTCAATATCTTATGTATTTGTTAACGTCGAATCTCTATTGTAGATGTCGTATGACTTTTAATTAATCTAATATTTTTGCTATTCAAAAAAAAAAAAAACTTGCAAATTATAAGTAAGAAAATTAAGTAAATTATTACAAAAAAATTACCGACACATACAATACAAATAAACAACACATTTCAAGGAAAATAAAATGAGCTACAATACATTCGTGGAATGGGGCAAAAAGCTAGTTTTTTAATAAAATGGGCTCCCTCTTCTCAAACACCTCCTAAGTTCAATTAGCTGTAACACAGAATCATAAAATCATGAAAACTGCATCCATCACCTCTTCCGGAACCCCATCATCGGCCGCCGCTACCAACGACGCTGCCGAAGCTCTTTCGCCAATGGCCGATCCAAGCCACCAAAATGCCGAAGACGATATTACTCCTGTCCTTTCTTCCGCCTCCGTCACTGCCACCGCTACTGCCACCGCTCCAGTTGTCCCAACTGCTGAAGTAGTCAATCTACGACCGCCGGCAAAGCTCCCTTCTCGTCCGCGTAAACTTCGTAAATTATCCCCGGAAAAATCTGAATCGTCGATGAAGAGCAGGAATAACTGCAAAATTGTCACTCGACCTCGATTAATTTCTGCAACCCACCAACGTTCTATGTCGTGTGAGGGTGAAATTGAGAATGCTCTTAATCATCTTAGAACCGCGGATTCAAATCTTGCTAAGCTTATTGACATTCATCCACCCCCGACATTCGATTCATATCAAACTCCTTTTCTTGCCCTAACAAAGAGTATTTTATACCAGCAGCTTGCTTACAAAGCCGGAACTTCAATCTACTCTCGTTTTGTCGCTCTTTGTGGTGGTGAATCGGGTGTTGTTCCGGCTACGGTTTTGGCATTGACGCCTCAACAGCTTCGACAAATCGGGGTTTCGGGCCGGAAAACGAGTTATCTCCATGATTTAGCGAAGAAATACCAAAATGGGATTCTCTCGGATTCCGCCATTATCAACATGGATGATAAATCTTTGTTTACTATGCTTACTATGGTGAATGGAATTGGGTCTTGGTCTGTTCATATGTTTATGATTTTCGCTTTGCATAGACCAGATGTGTTGCCTGTTAATGACTTAGGGATTAGAAAGGGGGTTCAGTTGTTATACGGTTTAGAGGACTTGCCTAGACCCTCTCAAATGGACCAGCTTTGTGAGAAATGGCGCCCGTATCGGTCTGTGGCGTCTTGGTATATCTGGCGATTTGTTGAGGCGAAAGGAGCTCCTACTTCTTCTGCTGTGGTTACTACACCTGCTGCTGGGATGAGTTTGATGCCGCAACAGCAATTGTCGCCCCTACAGTCACCTCACCAGCAACAACAATCGCAACACCAGCCACAGTTTCTTGATCCCATGAATGGCATTATCAATATTGGGTATTAATTATGTTATACAAGTATTTTTTTCTGCTTTATGTTGATTATAATAAGAAAGATATTTTTTCATCAGTCATTTTTTTAGGATTGTCTATCAGTAGAAGAGTAATCTACTTGTTATGCTATGCTAAAAATTGCCTATGATTAAAATGAGTTAATTGTATCACAATTCCGTTTTGGTGATTCAGTCGTGTGTGGTCTGTAATTTCTACAACAGAAACACCTACTTTAAGTGACACTTGTTAATGGAATACTTCCTTTTTATTTTTTTATTTATATTTCCTATCTAAATTGGACTATCTTATAGAGTTTATAAATTTTAAAGAAACCCGTTCCCATCTACATAAAGAATGTCCTATTTGGTTATTCATGTACTTGTTTGGAATTAGCCGTCTCTTATGTTAATTTTGTATTATCTTTGTACCAACTTGTAATAATAGATGTGTTCTTTTGCTGATATCTTAACAAACCCTTATGCATATTTGTATTTTCAGTCAGTTGAGCTGAATGATCGCCTACAACATTTTGTAATTAACTCATCTAACTCCGCTAAAGGATGTTATCCATGAAAATGAGGAAAGGGAAAGGCTTTGCTTAACTTGTTACCTATGAAAGGTATATTTTGCTCATCGAATCTTTTTTCTGTTAAAGTGGTCTATATTATTTCATTTTTCTTTTTCCAAATTTAATCATTATTCTTGTATGTTTGGAGTTTACAGAAATAATATGAAGTTTTTGTGTACTGAAATTATATAGAGTTTGTGTTTGTGTGCTTTTGTGTGGGGATACTATGCTATTTGAGTTACTTTACCCTCATCTATTCATATCTCCTGATTTACTACCAATAATACCGTTTTCATAGATGGGTTTCTTTAGTTTTCTCTTGTATATTGCAATGTCAACATGTGAGATTTTCACTCCCTTAGATTAGTCACACCCATTAGACCTGTGTAGGGTTTTATACAAGGTTTTATACAAATCAATTGATATCATTTTTTCATATGTTATTTGATGGTTTTTTTTTTTTGTTCGTGGGTGGTAGGGTTATTTTATTGTATTTAGTATTGTTTGTTATAATTAATGGATGTTGCATCCAAAGTGAGGGAAAAATAGTGAATGAAATGCATTGGATTAATAACATTTAAAAGTGTTGCAATGAGATGACCTACTAAGGAAAGTCATACAATAATTTAGGATGGATAGAGTATGTATTGTGTACTTTGTGAGATTGAATTCACTTCTTTTGTAAGATAATGAAGGGTGGTAAAATTGAAATTTATGTATCTTATTTCATATAGAATTACTCGTTGCTTTAAAAGCTGTCATCCTCTGCTCATTATTAATTGGTCGTTTATTTTTTTTTTGTTTGACAAGATTTATTTATAGGTTGTTGGAAAGTTGGTTTTATGGTATTAAGAATTCTTTACTCCCTGCGTCCCATAATACTTGACATAATTCTCATTTTCATACGTCCCACAATATTTGATACGTTACTAAATATGAAATGGAACCATTAATAAGATAATATTTTCGCACTCCTCACTACCCCCACCTCAACCCCACTTGTTGTTTTCTTTCATTTTAGAAATATAAAAGGAAATGTTTTATATAATAAACAAATGCTGTAAATGGACCCATTTATAGTTTTCTTAAACTACTTGTCCATGGGACGGAGGGGGTATTACTCTATTCATTTTTTCTCTACCCACAAGTATGTTGATACAAAGACTAATAAAAAAGAGGGAGAAATTATTTTGTAGGATATCTTAATATTTATTTTAGAGAGGAAGAGAAATGTATTTTTTATTTTATTTTATGGATCCCATGGCGACCATTTAATGTTTGCATCAAAATCTTTTGCCGAAGGGAATATTGCAAGTATAGTTGAAGGGGGAGGCGTGCATTGACCTCTATGGTCCATATTGGGTTTGTTAATTTTAATTTGAAGATATAAAGTGATGTGGGAAAAGGAAGAACAAAAACAAAAAGTCGGTAAAGCTAAAAATAGCAAAAGGATTATTACTAAAGTATTGTAATTGAAAATTTATTTATGAAACTGATTGACTTAAATCCAGATCAAACAATAAAAGATTAGTCGTTTATGAACAATTGCTTAGGGAATCATGGTGTTGTAAAAAAGTTATGCATAATTTCTATACAAAAGTGTAAAAAGTAAATAATTCTAACCATATGTTGTGTGTAAGTTGTTCTGATCCCGTAAGTGGTGTCGGCTACATGAACCAAATTTAATTACTCCGTGTAATCATCAACAAAGATCCTCCTCTTCCATTCCTTACGATCCAATGCCTCATCCTCATGTACATCTATATACTTCATATCCTTCCTAACTCCTTTCAACCAAGTCATTTTTGGTCTCCCTCGTTTAACCTCTCCATGGTCCCATGCTTCTACTCTTTGTACCGGTGCACCCTCATGTACATCTATAAGAGTGCTTGAGTGCTTTGAATTGGGGGTTTGGGTGTGGGGGGGAAGGAAGGGGAGATGTTGATAGGAGTTATAAAGGGTAAAACCTAGGTAAAAATTTCAAATGAATATGGTGATATATATGGGATTTAAATTTGAGCATGAAAGTATAATTTAAAAAAAAAAAAATTGTACTAAAGTAGAAAGATTCAATATGAAAACTTCTTTTTGAAATGCAAAAGTTGGAACATTGTTTTACATGGTGGGAGTATCATTAAACAAAGGAAGTATACTCGACTTTGATGGGAAAGAGCCTTTCTCATTAAAGTACTCCCTTTGTTTCTTATTTCTTGCAACAAAGGGGCGTTGCACATTTCCCAAGTCAAAATCACCGAGGGAGCTTAATCACCTATTAAGTGCATGTGCTTAAGTTTTAAAGAGGAGGAAATTGTGGTGGGTCCACCTTTTTAAAAAAAGGTTCACTAAATCCTACCATTAGCAAGTTTCACTAAATCAGTCCATTAGGAGATTATAATCACTAGTTTTTTTTTTTTTTTTTTTTTTTTTTTTTTTTTTTTTTTGAAATTGTTATGTTTTTAATGCTTTGATATATGTATTTTAAGGCAGTCATGTAAATGTGGGGGTCCTTGTTTGTGAAAACAATGTTGCATAAAGATGAATGTAACCCTTTTGGATATTGTTTTTAGAGTTGATAGTAAAATCCATTTAAGAAAACCATGAGGAAGGGTATGGTTATTTCAAAGACAATGTGTAATGATGTAACCTCCACATTAAGTTCAAATGAACTATGATGGAGCAAATCAACCTTTAGCAAGTTTAATTCAAATGAGTCCCTTCATCATTTGGTAAAAAGCACAAACAAGGGGCATGAAATAGGATGACTTTATCACAAACAAAAGAAAAATGCCCTGTTTCACCAAGGCTTCAAACATGTTTGTTCTCTCAATTTAATGTCATTGAGAACATTTTAGGGACTCGAGTAATCCACGAGGTAAAAGATTTAAATTTAAACAATGTCAAACAAGCAATTGATCATCATTTATTCCCTTGTCCAATTCGTAACCATAGCAAGCCAACAAATAACATTTAACACAAGTTGCATGTATTTCACCTCATTTACTCGGAATTAAGGACTCATATTCCTTATAATTAGGCAACAAATACAAGGTAGCATGTATTTTCCTCAAATAAGGACTCATATTCACCATACTTGCATGAGGGAGGGACTAATAAACCAAGGAGTATGAGGGACTCAAAGAACACATTATAAGAAATAAAATGACAAATTTAAAAATTAGGGTTAGAAGAGTTATATGTTGCTAGGTCACTAAACCATGCTGGATGAATTTCCCTCGTAGATATCCTTCATCGAAATTTTGCAGTCTGACCCTTTTCATCCCACAAAGAGAGCCCTTGTTCTGCTGCTTCGCACTGACGGACTTGGCTTCCTCAAGTACTACCTTTGAGGCACCAATAGAAGCCTCAATAGGTACAGGGGACTTGGGCTTGTTTTATTTAAGCTTAATTTCAGTTCTGCTCCAATCAATTTAGTTCAATTCCTAATTTCCTTCTCTCATAAACAATTCATTTTAACTCTATAAATTCAATTTAGCCCCAATTAATTCAGTTCATTTGTTTTTCAGTAAATCGAAAGAGGCCCGTAGTTGGCCCATTAGCGTTGGACCCAACTTCCACAACCTCCCCTTCCAGACTACCACCTTAGTTGCCTTTTTAGGGTTTTTCTTGTCTAAATCTGTCTTTGCCTCACTTTCATCATATGATGAAATGTATTCAGTAAGCTTCACACCACGAATGTGCCTCTGCCTTTGCCTCACTTTCATCATCTGATGAAATGTACTCAGTAAGCTTCACACCATGAATGTGCCTCCGCGAGATAGGCCTCGGAGTAGCGCGACGAACAGGTTTCATTTTCTCAGTTCCCTGTTCACATTTTACCTTTTGTATCGAGGAAGACCTTCTTGGTGTTCTTGTGGGAGATTCTCATAGCAAATAAGGGTTGCGTTGTTAGGGTTAGAGGAACTCATTTTGGTTAAGAAAGTAGGTCACATCTGTCAATTGCAAAGGTGGAATTCTGTAAAAGGTGAGGTTGCTGAATAGGAGAGAAGAGAGGAAGAATTAGGGTTGCGAAGGAACCAGAAATGGGCTCAAGCCTATTTGGCCATGGAGTTAATGCAAGTAGGTTTGAGAGATGGCAATGAATGCAGCAGTTAGGAAGATGATCAAATTTGTTCATTAATCTAATGAGTGAATAAATAGGCAATAGTTAGGGTTTGATAATTTTTGGTGGGATGGATTAAATGATGATAAGATATTAGGAGATTAATTAATTATAGGTTAGTGTGAATCCACCCGTAAATCTGAGTATAATAAGGGTAACATCGTAAATTCAACTTGAAAAACTTACTATAAAAGGAAAAAAATTTATTGCAAGTAATGTGAAGCAACCTAAAATGGCAAATGTTGGAATAAATAAGAAACTGAGGGAGGAAATTATATTTATTATAATGACTGTTCTAGTCCATTCTTTCCTTTGAAGTTGTTTAGGTCTCATCGTTGTGTTTATAACATATGGTTTAGTATCAGAAGGAAGGTCGATAATGATCTCAGGTATTGATGTGGTCCTTTTTATAGAAGTCCTTTTTTTTTTTTATTACTCTGCCGTCTACTTCTTAAGCATCAAGCTCAGAAGCAACGAGCGTAGACCAAGGGCCAAACAGGAATGAGGCTTCCTCCTCAGGCTCGGGAAGTTGGATGCAATATAATAACCTCCCTTCAGATAACGAATCTGCTGCATCATCGACCGACCGGACCCCGGGGCACCTGCCGCAAGGAGAGGAGGCTCCTAGTCAACCCGATGAGGTGAAGCACTCACTTGCGAAGTAAAATCAAATTCGTTGTATGTGGTCATCGAGTCTGCGCTCTAACGTTTGTATTTTTTACGGAATGAAGACCTTAGGCTGGAACTGCTTTTGCGTAAAAACGAAGAATAATCAACAAAATTCTTGATTACATTTCGGACAACCAGGAATCCCTTTTAAATTCGCGCCAAAGCCTCGTCTACGAGTTGACGGTTAACGATTGGGAAAGGGAGCAAAGGCACTTCCCAAATCCCGTGGACGACGTAACCTGAAACTTTCTATTTTGTCGAGCCCGACTTTGGTCTCAGTTACTCATCAAATGGCACTCAGTTCATTAAGCTCATAGCTAATAGGTTTTCTTGGTGAGTTTATTTTGATTGATTAATCACAAACAGCCTTTGTTCCTTGCGGAAGTCTAATGGACAACATTTTGCTATCTCAGGATTTAGTAAGGAATTCTCATAAGGAGTCCCTCTGCCCTAGATGTGCCATCAAAGTGGACTTTCAGAAAGCGTATGATTCCAACAATTAGAATATCATTTTGGATACTCTACATTGCTATAATTTGTGATCCATTTTCATCCAATGGATTAGGGCATGTATCGCCACTCCTTCTTTCTCTATTCAAAATATCTCTACCTTAGGCCACTCCTTCTTGCCCCCCTTCCATTTTCCCCTTCTTATGATGGCAAAACAATGAATCTCAACCCATCTTATCCTTCATGTGTTCAATCTGATCAAACTCTTGTTAGTCTAATCAATGCAATTCTCACTGAATCTGTTCTTGCCTTGCTCAAGTTGTTGGTCTTCAAACAAAAACAATATATTAGCAATTTAGGTGGTATGGGTTTGTTGAGAAAGAGACTATTGTCTTTACTTAAATCTTATATATTCAGAACCAAGATCTAATGAGAACCGAGTCTAATATGTAGAACCAAACTCGTCCCTTAAAAGTAAATTAAAAGTAATTTGTATTCATTCGAAATTAATATATATTAGCAACTTCGGTTGCTTTGGTTAGTTAGTAAGAGCCTATCATTTATACTAAAAGCGTATTTATAGGATCAAGATCCAATGATAGCCAATTTCATCCCTTTAAAGTAATTCAAATAAGCATTAAAGTAAAATATATTTTTGGTAAAGTAGATTTTAGCAACTCTTTATACATAGTATTTGATTTAAATGATGTCCTCTCACCAAGGATATGCTTATGTTATGTCCTCATCATGTCCTTGATTTAAAATGATGGATTGGTAAGGTTTAAAAGAAACTATTACCATCATACTCGTAAACTAACAAACACATTAAATATTTTGGATTATTGTTTTATGCATGGGAAAGCTATATGTTGTGTGACTGTTTGGTAGGTCAGCTTTATTTTATAGTGAAGCAATATGACATGAAAAGTCATATACCATAGCTAGCTACATGTCAATCTAGCATACAATTTGACTGTTGTTAAATAACTTATATTCCTAAAGTCTGCTTATATGTTGCCAATCAATGTATATGGAGGAGTTTTGGAATTTAATCAAGGAGTTTGAGCTTAATATATATCTACAAGCTAATTCTGTGGATATCTTAGCTTGATGAAGGCTATTCTGACTGCCTTAGACCATTAATAAAAATGATTCTAGCTGAGTCATTTAGAATTAAAGCTCTTTATGCACTTCTATTGAGCCCAATGATCTGTTCAATGACTAATTTGAGTTGAATAATCGAAATTGAACTTTAGAGAAACTTTCTATGCTCACCTAAGCTTTAGATGACCTATTTAAGTCAAGCACGTAGCAAACCTCTTGATATTGGGAATAAATTCATTACTCCATTATGATATAGAATAGGTACAGTTTAACTAGGGCTGTCTCACTCTCTATTGTTTTAGATATTGCATTGAATTGAATCTACCTTCCTTATATAATCCATGGTCCTGCCATTTTTTTATTTTATTTTATGTCTTAGCAAAGCAATTGACTCAAGATTGGATGTTAGAAATGAGGATTGAAATTGGCATGACCTTATTGTTAAGGATTATGTAGTTAGGCATGATAGCTTCTAGATTTTTGTTTCATGGTACCAGATAAAGATGGTGCATGAGAGGCATGGTATTACCATATTGGTGCACACATGACTCTTTTTCCTTGTTTTATTTATTTATTTTTGACATGTTTATATCTAGTTTCCCTTGGGTCTTGATTGTTGTTTGCCATAATTTCTCATTTATCTTTACAATGAGGTAAAGTGAAGTCGTAGACTCGTAGCATACTAGGTCCCTTGCAATTATCTTAAAATTACATCCAGTGTTAAGGCCTTGTTGACTCCTACAGGGTAGCCAGATCCTTAGATCAACTCCAATGGTTGTAGCTAGGGACTTGGTTACAATATTAAATAATCCCTAGCTACTAGCTTAACCATTGGAGCTAGAAATTGCAATTAGCTAGGTCAAGCATATTAGCTTTGTCAAGCTAATTTGCTTGGAAAAAAAAACTTGCTAAAATAAAACTAATTAGAATAAATAAAATGAAATTTATCAATTTAAATTAAGGAGGTGTGATTCATTTAAATAGTAAGCGATTAGCTAACCATTGAAGGTAAAATGACAATTAGCTTAAAAGCTTATGTGACATGACAAGCTAATTTGACAATTAGCTTGCCATTGAAGTTGCTCTTAGTAAAAAAAATAAAAATCTAATATTTTTAAATCTAGCAAAACAAATATGGTGCAATGTTGTTGAAAGATGCCCTTACCCGACACGTATTCCACAAATGACCATAAGGAAGATGAGATTGGTTACATTGGCTAGACTGTCCATAAGAAGACAAACAGCATAGTTAGGCAAACGTGATTAATAAGAAGAGCATGTGGTAAATGTTCTTACTTATCGAGCCTATACCTTGCTTCCAACTCTTGCTTGCCCAGTCGCCCTATTGAAATAAAAGTCTAAAAAGTTGGGTGTTTCATTATGTTGACCATACATTTTCTTTCAATGGTCCATGATTGAATCTACTTACAGCAAAATTTATTTTTATGGGTTTCTTCTGTATGATTCAATGAATACAATAGCTATAGTGCTTTTGTCTATGCTTTGTTTACTCTCTGTAATTTTGTGTGAGTGGGTTAGATGTCTGTGATATCTTCTTGACATTATCTTCCTTGCCTTTTGGTCCCTCCTTTATGATCCAGTATATTCTCTTGGTTCTGTGAATCTGTATGACGATTAATGAATTTTTTGAACTCCCTGAATCTCAATCTCTTTGTGATCTATCATTCTATCTCCCTTGGGTTTTGTAGCATTAGTAAGGACCGATCCCTATGTTTGCAATGTAAATTTCCTAGGAAAAATTGCTTTTGCAGCTAAAGAGTTGCTTTGTACATTTACCACATTTATACAATTATGGATATTGCCTGCTGATGGTGAAATTTGATTGCCAGAATAGAAAACTATCACAGGCACCGAGGCAACTGGTTCCGATATGTACTGTACTACTGTAGGTAGAAGTACAAATGTTGTCCTGTTTAGATATCATTGCGTCAATCATGATGCTGCGCTTCAATTTGTTTCATTTTAACTTGGTGACACCCGTTGTATGGCTGTATAGTGTATAATATGTCCATTAGGTCAAGGTCATTAAAATTGACAATCATGACCTGCTTGGAGTTGAGCTTAGGTCGATTAAAGATTAACTAGATGACCATCCTGTTCTTGATTGTAGAATATTTCTTAAGTTTATTTCATCTCATAAGATGCGAAGCCTCATGTAATGAGAAAGATGAATCAAAAAGTTGAGTTATTTTTAACTTTGTTACTATGACGTATGAACATTTTTGTTCAATAATGTTCATATTTTTTGAAACAATACTACTTTATATGTGTTATTTGTTTGTTTGAAGCATAAATTTCTTTACAGCTGAATTTTCGAAAACACATACTTGCGATTCATACATAATGTACAGAGTACTTGCATATAAAAGATGGTTGATGAGCTCTTTCATTTTCTGTTTAAAAAAACAAAAAAGAACATTAACTTGAGGCACAGAAGCAATGTCTCTAGAGCTCCAAAAAATATGTACAGGTGCTTCTAGTCCCCTTGTATATATCTTATTTTCTCATAAGATAAAGGTATTTAGAAATTATTTCAAGCTATCACTTGACTTTGATTAGACCAGATCGCCCCAAAGGAACGTGCCAACGAGGGCACCACCAGATGTTGTAGACAAACCTGACCTGCTAAAGAAGAAGCTGAATCTTAACTTACAATCCCTCATGTTATATCGTGTTAAGCTTGCGTGTTAAGCTTACTGAGCTGATTTAGTTTTTGTTAAAGTTGTATGTTTTGGCGTCCTACGCTTAATTTAAATGTATAAATGTTTAGGATGAATGAATATTTGAACTGCACGCTTTTTACTTTTGATATTGTATTCCCTCCGTTTCATAATGTTAGTCCCATATATTATTTAGGGCGTTTTAAAAAGATTTACCCATATTAATATATATTTAATTTATAACGTGATTTGTTTGGAATTTATTGGTTGTGGATTGATGATATGACTCCAATTAAGGAAATCTTTACCTTAAATTATGCAATTATGACTTGTTCTTTCCTAATAAAAAATCAAAAAAGTTAAATAAGGTACATTAATTATGAATTATGTTGTACTTTAATATTAGATTCCAAATATATTTCTTTTCTTATTTTATGTGAATGATTCCATATGACTAACATTATAAAACGGATGGAGTATTAATTTTTGTATAATTTACAATACATTCAGCCGCATAACAGCTGAAGCCCCAATATTCTAAGGTTGGTGATCAAGGATGGGCAGGAAGGAATTGATTTGATGATTGATACTTGCCTTAATCATGATCTTTTGGAGACTCTGAAATGATGTATCTAATTTTAATATATATTGAATTTTTTGGATGTCTAGTTAAGTTTGTGTTTTTTGTATTAAGAGCTTTAATGGGTTGTATGTCATAGTAAAAGGTATGTATCAGAATTTGGAATAAATTAATTGTTAAAAATTATTGACTTGTGCAGGAATTTGACAATTAAGTATTTATTTTAATATTTTTTTTTTATAAATGTTTTTTATTTGTACATTAAAAGGTGTGTTTCGTATGATCATAGGATCCATAATAGAATGATCATTATTCAAAATAATAGAATGGTATCAAAAAAGTGAGGGGAGAAGATAGGTGACCATAAGTGTTGTTAATCTGTTATTATGAATAGTTTGGTTGATAACAGAAATGATTCAAAATTCTAATTTACTTTTTGTTGTATGAATTTTTTTTTGTTAATTAATTTTATATTGTAGCAGATATGTTGGTAACTTGTTTTCAATTAAAACTTAATACCCGTTCAATTTTCCCGGTTGAATCAACAAAAAGGAATGGGATGATATTGAAGAAATAGATCACATAGTGATTGAGATTAAGGGTGTGTTAACATTTACTGAGCTAAATTGAATTGATTGGAGCTGAAATGAACTGAATTGATTAGTGTTGAAATGAATATTTATAAGAGAAGGAAATTAGAAGCTGAACTGAACTCACTGGAGCTGAAGTGAACTGAACTAAAATTAAGCTGAAGAGAATAGGTCCTAAAAGAGTTCAAGAGCCAAGAGACTATACTGGATCGTAATAGAGGGAGCAAAAGGCAAGGAAGAGAATGTCAAGAAGAGAATGTTTTTCCAATGGTTGAATAAGCAAAAAGAATGAAATGTTATTGAATAGCATTTGTTGAAAATTTATCAGTCAAATTTGGTTAGGATACCCATGCTAGTTAAAGAAAACCATGGTACCTCAATTTGATGGGTAAAAACATAGCTATCAATGTTAGACTCAAGCTCAACAATTGATTTAATTTTTAGGATTCTCTATAGGATGAGTATGAAAGGGTCTTGTTGGAGGTCAATGATTATCTTTGATCATTGTTTGATGATTTCCATATTGGAAAAATGGAAACTAATAATTCCATTTTTGGGTTTTTTGTTCAAAACAATTCCACCTTTTCGAATTCCCAAAATAATCCCACCTTTTCAAATTTTCAAAATAATCCCACCTTTAACATCCATCTACTCAACACAAGCCTTTTAATAGTTTGTAAAATTGGTAACCTGTTTAAGAAGGTGGCTTGCCAAGACGACGACGACAACAACTAAAACACCAAATAATAATAACGAGAACAACAACAACAATAATAATAATAACGAGAATAATAATGACAATAATAATAACGAGAATAATAATGACAATACTATTAATAATAATAATAATGACAATAATAACAATAATAATAAGGAAAAATTATAAAAAAATAATCCCAATTTTCATCAATTTTGTTACAATAATCCTAACTTTGGATTATTCTTGAACTAGTTCTTTGCCCGAGCGACGCTCGGATATTCACAGGAAGAAAAATTATATTTACATATTATTAAAAGTTTGTATTTGTTTATAGATTGTGTATATTTTTAATATTTTATTTATTTAAATTTGTTGTTATTGTTCTATTATTTAGGCTATATATATATACATATATATATATATATATATATATTGAAATAAGGCTGTATATTTTTTTCATCAATTATCCTTTTATTTTCTAAGGAAAATAATAAAAAATAAAAAATAAAAAATTGGTGGGAAATTTTTTAATATAATCACTCAAGTTCTATATTATTATATTTTTGTGAGTGACATTGTAAGTGTTGGGATTTGTTTGATATGATTGGAATTATTTGGTGAATTTTTGGTGGAGTTGAGTTATGTTGGAGATAATTGGTCATTACTTATTTTTTACCTTGGTGAGGCATGTATTTATTTATTCATTGATGAGATCTTTGCTTAGGGACAAGCAAAGGTTTTGCTTGGGGGAGTTTGATATATCCATTTTATATAGTATATTACCCCCGTCCCTTGGTCATAATTGGTAGTATTTTTGGCTCTTTAGAACCACTTTTATTACTGATTGGTGTTTTCTAGTGTTTTTGTATTTTGGTTTAGTTTTGTAGGGATTTGCACCTTTAAAGCATTTTCCCGTGATTTTTATGGAGCAACTACAAGCATTGGAGGAGCACGACATGTTTTCATAGCCCAGGGCCAGTTAGAGTTATCAAACCAGTGATCAAGGGCTCAACATTATGATACAGAGGCGTTTGGAGCGAGTATTCAAGACCCGAAAGAGGAAATCCGGATTAGGTCAAAGGATCGGAGCCCAATCAAGAAGTCCAAGGTAGCCCAAGAGCTTCGCCCGACCAAATATGGCTCTGCCCGAAGGCGCACCCGGCCGGGCAGGGCGAAAGAAGAATGAAGTAGCCCTTCACTCGAGCTCGCGGCCGACCAGGCGCGAAAAACGTACCTGATGGAAAAAGGCGGGCCCGATCGGGTGATGTGGCGCCCAACAGGGCGCGTGTTTCTGAGGAGCTTCGGCGATTTTCTTAGTTTTAATCAGGATTAGTTAAGTGTTTGATATAAATACGTTTTGAGTTATTGGTTGGGCATCTCTTCTCTTAGACTTTCTCTCTCTTTTTAGTTATTTTCTCTGTCTTCATTTCTCTGTACAACTTCACTCTTGTTCTTAACTCAACTTTTAATTTCAGTTAATTTTGGTAACGATTTCTTCTCTATTAATTTCAGCAATTTTATTTCTGTAATCTATCATGAATTCTTTTATTGCTTTGATTAGCTTAGATTTAATTATGTGTGAGTAGTTTAATTTTAGGGTTTTGGGGAATCTATAATTAATATGAAGGGATAATTTGTTATTGTTGATTATTGATATTGCATGATAATTTCTTACTCAATTGTTTTAACGCTTTACAACCAGATTATCAATCGAGCAGATGTGATTTGCTTGTAAAAGTTAAGCGATATTGAATTAATGAATCGAGAAGATTTTAATTTGATATTAAAGGCTATTTTCAATAGGAACTTAGATGTAGTAAATTGCGAGAGCCTGTTAGATCTATGTTGATTAATAAATTGCGAGAGCCTGTTAATCATGTTATTTGTGCAATGTTAATTATTGGTTGTTATGTTTTATCCCGAAATATTAATTATTGGTGTTTGGGGTAAAAATACCCTAATCACATGGCCCAATGGCCTAGTGACACGTGGCATCCAGCCATTGGTCAGCAGGGCTCCAATCCTCTGCTGACACGTGTCCTCTAAACCCTAAAAGGGGAACCATCCCTTCCCCACTATAAATAGTGGAAGGACCCTCATTAATGGGGGCTGGAACATTTGTTGATCACATTGAATACTCCTCAAAAAGAAACACACTTACCCCGAGCAATATTAATTGCGGAATTCTCCCATTACGCGAGAAGTAACTTCCACATTACGTGCATTCTACCTCTCGTATCTTTACTAACTTGATCGTCGGAGACGGAGCTCCTACCCCCAGGAGTCTTCGTGATTTTGCAGGCACAGGCGTCGAAGGGCATTCTTGGAATCGTAACTCTCCCGCAGGACACATAAAAAAACCCCGAAACATTTGGCGCCGTCTGTGGGGAGAGTACTTCTAAGATGACTTCTGATACTGTGTCACCGAATCAGGGCAAACGGCCTGAGGTCGAGCCTGAGGTCCAGACGGACCATGAAAGTGGCGACGAAATTGAAACATATGTGGCCCCGGATGGGTCTTTCAGAACGAAGCACCCTCGTGCTAAAGATAGAAGAGAACGGGAAATCAGCCAAGCTGCTCCCAACAACCCAGCCGGGCAACCGGCTGGAATTGCCCAAACGGTGGAGGGCTCAGCCCCCGTTACAAGAAACGAACTCATGTCGTTCATGAATAGTTTCAAGGGTGAGATCAAGAGCCTCATCCGGTCAGCTACTCCAAAGAAGGGTCAGCCGGCCAAGAAGCCTTCTGGAAAGAAGGCGGTCAAAGAACGAGTTCCTACCCCTCATCCCAAGCCAAAGGAGGGGGAGGGCTTAAGGTTTGATCCAAGAAGACTCTGTTTTCCTCAAGGGGAGCTGCGAAAGGCCATCCGGCACGTACAGCCGGATGGCTCCAAGAAAACATTCTCAGACGCCCGCACATTTCTCCAAGAGAAGCGAGGTCAGGCGTCTGCGTCGGCCTCAACGTCGACCTTCCCGGACAGTTTCCATGACGTCTCACACAGGCGTACGGGAACGAACCTTAGGAGCCAGACGGGCGAAGCTTCTGCCCGGTCTGGACCCAAAGTGATCCAGCCTGGCCTATTCGGCACAACGAATGGGTTGGGTGGATCCCCTTTCATGTCACCGGGTCTTTTCGGTGGGCAAGCGCAGCAGCCGTTCCAACCCACGGACTGGCAGCTGCGCCTGCTAAATTTGGGGGAACAGCCAACGGCGTTCTCACCAGAGATAACCCAGGCGGCACAGCCGCCTAAGATCAAGAATGTTTTGGTGGGGGCCTATGATGGCACCACCAACCCAGAAGACCATCTAATGGCCTACTCTAACCTCATGTACCTCCAGGGGTTAGATGATGCCGTCTGGTGTCGATGCTTCCCGGCTACCCTCAAGGGCATAGCCCAGCGGTGGTTTGGTAACCTACCAGCCGGTTGCATCAACAGCTTTCGAACTTTGGCGTACTTGTTTACGTCAAATTTCTCAATGAATATTCCTGCCAAAAAGACTAGCCTCGACCTAGGGGCAATACAACAGGGCGACCGGGAGGGCCTCCGGTCATACGTCAGACGGTTCAATCTGATGAGAATTCAGATTCCAGGACTATCAGACGAAGTGGCCTATACAGACTTCTTTCGAGGTCTGAAGGATGGGTCGACCTTTAAGTTTGACCTCGTCCGGAAGAGGGTTGCTACCCTCCAAGAGGCGTTAATTGAAGCTGAAGCCTATATACAGGCGACGGAGCTTTGTGCTGTCAAGCAGCCGTCAGATTATAAAAAGTCTGACAAAAAAGAGAGCCGGCAACAGCATCAACCGGCAAGAAAGGAAGAAAAGAGAAAAGGGGTCTGGGCAGCTGACCGATCAGGACAGCCGGCCCAGAAGATCAGGCGGAAGTCAGAACCATATGCCCCCAAATACGAGTTCACAAAAGATTGCTCCACCATCCTCCTGGAAATCAAAGACCGGATGTCTCTCGACAAACCGGCTGAAATGAAAAGCCCCGTGAATAAACGGGACAAGAGCAAGTATTGCCAATACCATGAGGATGTTGGCCACGACACCAATGGCTGCTATAGCCTCAGGCGGCTATTGGACCGTCTGGCAGATGAGGGGGCCCTAAAATCCTATCTACCCAAGGCTAAGGGTAATGCCCAGGCCAAGAAAGGGCAGGCGGCAAAAACCGGCCCAGTCAACTCCGAGACGGATGAAGAGACCATCTTCACCATAGCAGGCGGT